TGGTGGGTCTGATAGGGTTTGGAGGTGTTGGGTGGTGGATCCCTTATTGTGTTCAGGTTTAGGCGGTGATGTAGGTGGTGGAACCATAAATTTAATATAGGATAATTGGATTAGGTAGTTATTAAGGTTTAAAAAAAATTGATTACTTGTATAAATTGACATTAATGAATAGATGGTAAAAAGGGAATGCGTGGAGTTATCCGTTAGCTATAGAACTTTGGAAGGAGTGATTTGCTTGTAGCTGACGGTTACTTGTAAAATTGACCGTGAGTGTAAAGTGGACCGTTGGATGTAAAATTTTGGAAGGAATAGTTTGGGTGGAGTTGACCGCTGGAAGTAAAATTTTGGCAGGATTAGTTTGGGTGGAGTTGACCGGTGGATGGAAAATTTTGGGAAGACGGACAAAAACTCATAATTAATTGCTACTTTTTATCATTATATAATGAGTTTGGCCACATAATTGAGGCCCTTCTTTTTATCAGATCCGGCCATTTTAGTGGTTAGCGTTTGGGCCGGCCCTGATTAGTAGACCCCACTTCTTATTTTATTGTACTTTCTTATGAACAATCATGGTGTATGTACACTAACTTACACAGTTACCAAAAATTATTAAAAACATATGGAACCCACCTTGTCGTTTTCACCTTTCTTTTCTTGCTTTTTCCTTCGTCTTTTCCTTCCTTTCTCGACCAACGGAACCAATAATTGCAATAATTGTACTTGGTTTAGTCCACAGTCGAGGACTTTCTCCACACTTCGCTACAGGTTTGGTGAGAGGTAATTCAAACAAATTTTTTTTTTTAGTTTTATGTCTAATTCTCAACACTTTTAAAGCCCGATCTTAACATTTTTAAAGTTAAAAAAGTCTCTAAGATCAATCATTTATAACAATTGGCGGGACTTTAGGCGATTCAGCGACCCTCAAATCGATACGTGTGAAATTGTAGTTGTTATGGAACTCAAAAAACGTCTAAGAAGAGCCAAATATATAAGTTGACACCAATATTTAATGTGACTTGACTACTCATTTATGACGATGTGAATAACAAAAACAATTCCATTAATGAGCCCTTGCAGTCATGATAACTAGAAATTAATGGCTGGTATGCTGAGAATACCTTCTCAGTGCCCCCTGGGATACTGTTCTCCCGAGCATTGAACACTTAGTAGTGGGTGTCAGACGTCGATCATAGACACTTGAGTGTTCAGGAATAATCATAAGTGCTCGACGTGTCTTCGAACGCTTGTCCTATCATTATAACATTAAATATGTGAAGATCTGGATGGAGAATACTCAGATCTTTGTGGGTAATGGTATCAGGCATTGAATATTTAGATGAGACTTGAAGTCTTCGCACTCATTGCTATTCCAGGTATAAATACTCTTTAAAAAAATGAATAACGATACGTAACATTGAACCACGATACATGATACATTGTGCTCAAATCTCCAATTTTATACTGACTTAAGTTTCGGAGAGGATAAGCCGGGTGTTCACCCGACCCCTTTTTCTGACCCTATGATTGTTGCAGGTTCGCCAATGTAGAAGTCACTATCTCAAACTGTTGCATGAATTCTCCCGTGTAACAATACTCTTAATAAAGGAGTTTTTTAAAAAAATTATACTATTATCTTATTTTTACATTTATTAATTATTTCACACGTACGTTACACGTGAATCATTTTAAATATAAAATAAATAGGTCACTTTCCTCAAAATCTACAATTTTAATAAACACTGATGATTAATCAACAAGCTGAAGATTTTCTAAGAGTAGATTCCAACTTGTTAGCAAGCTTAAGACTTTCTGCAGTTAACGCTTCAATCTGAAAGTGAAAGACCAATAAGATAAGATCAAATAATTTATGAAAGCATTAAAAAAGAATAACCATCTTTTGTAAGTCAATATCTAAGCTCTTATTTGTGCCGTCTGTACATGGATCTTCATTCACTTGGAAAATGCCTCTCTTGGTTACCTGTTTTGACATTATCATGACTTTATTTTTATAAGTGAAAGATAGACCGGTCTACTGGTGTTAGAGATAAAATAATTAAATACCTTGGCCTTCGGTTCTTATACACTTTGACAAAGATAATGGAATTTTTTGCAAAGCTTGTTTCACTCATAATTTAACTATAACTGTATTGCACAAGATCTGGTTCTTTTTCACTTTCAATAAGATATATCTCCTCAACCACAGGTACTCTCTTGTAGTTAAAATAGTAAATCAAAGTAAATAGAGGAAAATAAGAGAGAGGTAAGTTTGGATTTAAAAAGTTATTTGATATTAGGGAGTTTGTAGGTTGTATTTGGTATATGTATAAAAAAAGTGGAAGAAATAAAATGTGAAAAGGTTTATTAGAGATCTGAAACGAACTATAAAAATTTAACAATTTCTGATGATATTTGGGTGATAATATTTTATCTCTATAAAATAGAACTGAAAATCATGTAAACAGTTATAAAATTGCCAAAAGATAAAACATCGATATAACTAATGACTAATACCATTTAGACAAAGTAGTAATTTTATTTCGTAAAGTACTTATGTAGATTCATAGCTTGTTCACATATAAAATTGTACTCATATACAACTATAGGATGATCTGGACATAACTTCAGGTTTGTTTATGAGAACTTACCGTTGGAGCCAAAGATTTGAAGTTTTTTCTTGTTTTAATGGACTCAACAATTGCCATTAAATCAGGTTTTTATTACCATTGAATAGGAGTGATGGAGGGTTGGCAACCATCATAATAGAATCAGAATACATCGCACTATCATTACTCTCTACAAGGAAATTTGGCACTGTCATTAGTATCCACAACCATGCAATGACAGAATATTTGGGCAACATACTTTATAGACTTCTTTGTTAATTCTAGCCAGTAACTCATCACTTTTCGTTGAACTCGTTTAAGGCTTTAATAGATTCGTTTTAACTTATACTATAGAAAACTAATTTTGTCTAATTCATAAAATGACAAATATTCAGCCCCCACTATTTTCACATTTCCTCTTTATGCTTATCTTTTAAATTTAATAAAAGAAGGCTTACCGTCTTAAAATTGTTGGAATTTGATCTGAATATAATTAGAAATAAACATCAAATAAACATGAAATTGAGAAGAATTATCACACTTACCTCGAACATCATTCAAATGAAAATTATAGTAGATTTCATACCGCAAATACAATACTTAGCTTGAGTTGAGGTGCGGATTATGTCGTAAGATGGTTTGCTCCTCTATGGATAATATGTCCGGTGTAGTAGATCACAACACGCCGTCTCCAGGATACAACAGCCCAGCTACTTACTGTAACTTCTTTAAGCCTACACAACTTTGAGAAGTAGAAACTTCACACACACACCTTTCTTTATCCTGAGAATATAACATAAAAACACCACAAAAAGAGAAAAAGAGGACATATATATAGATGTATGAAATATATAACTCATTGCCCAAAATAATTCACCCATTAACTTATTATCATAAAACTCAATTATTTTGGTCTTTGTAATTTATTGACCAAATTCAATATAATTTTCAACATAATAATTCTCACAATGAATATAACATATGTAACTTATGGACTACTAAAATTGACCTTTATAATTCTCATTATATAGATACTAATGGTTAAACTAGTTACTCATATGACTTATAAAGATATAAATAAATTTGTATAATCAAGTTAAAGAAGATACAAAGTGAAAGTATTGCAATATAAATTAGATAAATAATAAAGGCTACTTTATTTTTATTAAAATATTCCATATATATATATATATATATAAGAGAGAGAGGGGGGAGAGAGAGAGAGACACACACACACACACAAAAACACACTCATAGTGACGGAGAGAGGTGGCTACCACTGTTTAAAGCAGAGAAAAATAAGGATATTACAAATCAGGATATTCAGAACAATTTTTTTCTATTTTACTATTTTTTCTATTGAGCATGTTACTATTTTTTTTTTACCATGTTACTACTTTTTTTCATGTTATTATTATATATTATCTCATATTTATCATAAATTATTTATATTGTGGATAAAGATAAAAAGATACATATATCGATTTTTTGACACCCGAGATAATATTGTATCAGTGAAGTTATCGATGTGTATCAATATTAGGGTAACATGACCATTTAAAAGTTTTGCAAAGAAAGAGATTTACATGATAAATTAAATGTTAGTTTGTTATTTAAATATAGAGGAATATAGTGGTAATCTACGTATTTAAATATAAAAAAACATGTTAATCTTTATATTTTTTTTAAGGTAAAATAGTAAATCAAAAGTTTTTCATGTAAAGTATTTTTATTAGCAATATAGATATAGATATATTACTATTTTTTTGTGTTTGAATGTTATTATTTTTTATTTTGACTATTACTATTTTATATCATATATGTGTGTGTGTGTGTGGGAGGGAGAGAGAGAGAGAGAAACAAAGATAAAGTAGTCATAGTCTATATATAGATACTAATAATTTCCTGTGCCTGAAGGCACTGTGTTACTTGTAAAAAATGAACAAAATGAACAAAAATTATCTAAAACAACAACATATATACAAATACATCAGGGGAAAAAAATATCAATAGAACCAAATCAAATTTACAATATTTAAGTAATAAAATCAATAAATTTTTTTTGTATTTATCACCATTACCATAATCCAATTCAATAACAAAACATAATTATAAACTCAATTCACCAATGTAATAAATATCTCAAACAAAAAATTGTCCAAAAATGCAACCATCTACATAATAAAAATAAGTTCACAAATGATGTGAAAGGAATAAGTTTTACTATTTGAGATTCCACCAGCTTCCAAAAGAATGAATACAACCTATATTCATAAAAAATAATATATTTAGATGTTTTTTCATTCTATAAAAACATACAATTTTTTTTTCAATTCATCCACAATCAAATAATAAAAAGATTGAGAAAACATAGTTACCTGAAAAGTATTGCTTCATAAGTTCTGATGTTCATTGTTCCTCTGTTGAGCCTCCCAGTCTTCTAATGCTTGTAAATAGATTAAGTCATTTTCGATGTTCTCTAACAGATCTTTCAATTCTATCATATCTAGGAAGCCATTCTCGAACTACGTATGAATGAAGTCAATCGGCCACAAAGATAGAAGCGTGTTAACAACAGCGTACAACTTTTTTGTCTCAGTTCTCTAAATAATGATTCTTTCTTTTTATATGGTCTATGACATCTGATTGTGGATCCATTTTCTCTATCTCAAATTGTATCCAAAGTGGATAGATCTTGCGCTCCGCTTCCGCCAATAATTGTATAAATAGTACCACACAGGTTGGTTGGTCGTGATTAAAAAAAATTTCCTTTGCAGAATCCCAGGTGGTGGGAAGGGTCTCTGCTATTTTTTGCATAATATAATCTTCACTTATGTTTTTTCCTACATTTTGCAGCATACGACCTAATCTAATTTTTTCAAACCCAAACTCTGAGATTGGGGTTCCATTTTCAAAAGAATCATTTTCAAACTTATCTATTATGCTTGCTACTGCCAAACGCATACTATGACGTACATAGATGGGACGACGTTCCATATTATCTGTACATAATATAAAAATTACAAATTAAATTGATAAAAATAAAATTAATAACAGTTAACCAATAATACAACAATAAAATATTTTTTTACTATCACATGTGATCTAATATTGTAAGAATAAGAACAACAACACACCAATAACAATAAGAGAAATAGAATAATTAAAATGATAACCTTATTATTCATTGTTGCAATATTATTCTTGATAATTATAAACATGCAACAATTAAACCAAGAAGATAGACAACAAATATAAATCCATGCATATGAATTAAATTCAAAGAATATTAAAATAGTGTGACTTATTCATAAACATTAATTGAATGGTTTAGACTTGCAGCTTTTGATTGAAAGTAATATTAAACAATGTAATTAATGATTCAATCTTCCAGTAGTTCATTGAATTGTCTCTTCATTGAACTTTTTCTTCATCACTTTTTTGAATGTTCTTGTGTCAATACATAGGCGAAACCTCAAGTTGGGAGAATGGACAACAACCTAGTTTTACAAGAAAAAAAGAAAAAAACAAATCTTAGTGAAATATATATAATTTATAAAAAAATACAGTACGCTGCAACAGTGTAAGGATGAGTTACCTTATTACGATAACCCCATCGGTGAAGTCACGTTGTATTTAATCTTTTCATCTCTTTAGCCAATTCACACCAATCCTACAGATATTGAATGATGATAATATAAAATTAACATGGTTATTTTAATTATGTGTATTCAATATGAAAAAATTTGTAACTAAATGGTACCTTTTGTAAATAATTGAATAGGAAGTCTTATAACAAAACTTCAGGGAAAACGATGTTTGATGAGCAATTCGACGCATATTCAGGAAGAAGAACACTTATACGATTAGAAGATGTACATCTGGATAGTGCCACATACAGGTGTCCATGGCTAAACACTGGTATGCGCAAATCAACCCCAATGAATTTGACAGATTGCCCTTGAGATTTATTGATTGTCATAGCATATGTTAAGCGCACAGGAAATTGACATCTTGTCATTTGAAAAGATAATTCCGAAGATGATGGTGTAAGTGATATTCTTGGAATGAAGACTAAATTGCCTGATAATGGTCCATTCAGAATCTGAACTTCAATTACACGCGAGGCACATCTGACAACCATTAATCGCGTGCCATTACAAAGCCCATCTTTTGGCGCCAAATTCCGCAACAACATTATTGGCAACCCACTTTTAACTCCAACTTAAACGGCGGTAGTCTTGAAAGATTTAGAGAGTTTAGATACTCATTTGGAAAACGGTTCGTGATAGTATGATCAAGTTCCTCATGTTCAGAAATTTTGTCTGCAGCTAAATATTTAATAGTCTCACCAAGGAATATATTCAATCTGCCGCATTTATAGAACTAACATCATCATTACGAGCAGAAAGAATTGTACGTTCAGTTTGATAATCCGGGGTCACTGTACCAACCACATCTAAACGTGGGTGAATTATGAATATCAATTCTTCTAGATTATGACATTTGTGTATTGTTGATGGAAGTTCTATAATTTCTTCTGATTGGTCCCAACCTAAAATTAAAATTGGGAAGTTAAATGAGCGAAGAGGAATAAATACTAATGAAAAGCAATATTTTATAATATTATTGACGAATAAATTATTACCTCCATTAAAAAGTTTGCAAATGCAGCATTTCTAAAATCCATGTGAGTTAAAATGCATGTTTTGACCTAGAGTCAAAACATGTATATCCCTCCACAAAAATGATCGTCTCAACGATACACCCACAAATTGCTCGCGGACTCTTCTTGGTATAACTGGTAAGATTTGTCGAAAGTCTCTACCAAGCACAACAGTAATACCCCCAAATGGCTTTTTATTATCACGAATATCTTGAAGTATGCAATCCACTGCCTCAACACAATGTATTTTGTTTTTCTGAACAATTCTGCATGCATCGATTGTTTGGTAAAGCCACAAATCGAATTCTCAAGCACATTTAAGATACAAAATGTTGAATGTGTCGTGCAGCCTCCCATTAATAATAAAGACACAATTCCAGAAGAAGCAACAGTAACAACAATAGGTCCAAGGCTATGCAATTTCGTTGCAACTGTATTGTACAAAAATATCTTTCCTGTCCCGGCACCCCCACTCAAGAAGAAAGTAGTTCCTATATTTTGAAACACTGATGAAGTGATTTTAGCACAAGCAATGTGTTGTGCATCATTAAGGCGATCAACATTACTTTGTGCATCTGACTGTTGCGCTTCATTATGGAGTTTTTGATGCTCAAACAATAGTCTATTACCAACTATTGCATTCCAATTTTCAATCGGTTTGCGACATTGGTGGGAAGTCAATTAAGCTCTTGCCTGACTCGTGGAGCAATTGATTCAGCAAATATAAACCATAATCTTCGATTTGATCCTGAGTTGGATTTGAAATACCAAACATTGTACGAATCTTGGGTTTAAGATCATCACATATATGCACTGAAAACTGGTTCCATGATGCAAGTGGATATAGCGGAGAGCATTTAGTTAGAATAATACCGAACAATCTCCTCAACTGGTGTCCCGTTTTCATAATTGAAGCCTCTTGTAGACATTGTATCCATTCGACATCATCTTCTAGAAGACCTCTTGCAACAAATGTAGATTTGAAAGAATCATACATAACGTTGTTTACTGTGCACAGGTTATCAAATGATGTTGGTTTTTTGACAACTATTAGTAGCAAACACAGAAAAAAATGCTCACCTGAATTTGGGCTAGCAAAGTACATCCTGCCAATTGCGTACCCCCTTTGTTTAGGCGTCCATATTGTGGTTTTCTTGTTCCAAACAATTTTTTCTAGAAATTCTTGATAGGTTAATGCACGTGCAGATTTATTTGAAGCACAACATTTAAAGAAACTAGTCAGAGTTGTATCACGTTGTGCACCTCTTGAAATGATTAATTGAAGCGGTTCGTCCGAATTTAAAATAACACGATGCATCCCTGGTAAATGAAGTTCCAAACGTATAATCGATGGAATCTCTTCATGTAAAGGATTACCAAATATTTGCCAAGTAGCCTCTGGAGATCCAATATACCTTGCATCAAGATATTGTTGAATTTCATTTCCTCCTCCCAACACCATAGTGGTGCGATCATGACCTTTATAAATGTACTTAGAGATGTATTTCACATATCTTATTCCCGCACAAACTTCCACATTAATATGACAGTTGAACATTCTTGAAAGATAAGGATTGTATGGCACGACATCCCTATTATCAACTTCTTGGCCCCTAACAGTATAAACATGACCATTATCACGACGACGATAAACAGGATATCCATCATCGTCCATACTTGTTGATTCTACAAATGTCCGAGGGTACCTCTTAGTACATACACCATTTTCCATACATGATACATGTGGATTTCGAACACCACATGGTCCATGTACCATACAACTATTGATTGTATAAAAAAGAATAGGATCTTTGTCTGGATTAGGAAATTCAACACACACTGCCTTGTCTACCTGAGAACATGTTTGAATTTTGTCTGGACCATGAAGGAACAGAAGTGCATGCATGTGTGGTAGCCTTCGTTTTTGAAATTCGATCGTGAAAACATGTGCTACCTTTTTACCAAAAATATTTTTCGTCTCTATCATCTTCATCAAAAACCTCCTCTTTAACTCAAAAACATGGGCAACTAAATCTGGACGATTAACAAGTTGTTGATGTTCTAACAGAGCTGAAGAAATTTCAGATCAATTAGGATTTGCAGTCATCATGAGAAAAATATATGGGTGTTGGTTGTAATGTGTGATAGCCATCAAATCTTGATAGATTTCAAATATATGTCTTGCACTGGTAGTGAATAAAGATGACAAAATTATTCGTTGACCAATTTGATCGGGTCTCGGTTCATCTACACAAACATCAGTAAGTCCCTGGTAAAGTTCAGCACAGAGCTTTGCTTGATTAAACTTATAATATGTCAATCGATTCTGTTCAGTAGAGGTCCAAGCATCTACTACGAACTCCTGAAATAATTTTTCCCCTTTCAAAATTGTTGAATACTCAGTATCACGTTGAAACATGTGATAACTATAAAATTGCAATTGAGTCAATCGATTAGTTGAAGGTCCACCATGAAATTCGTCCCACTGTCTCAATTCAGGTTCCCATCCAAGCTCACCATAAGGAAACAGTAACACATAATGTAGAGGTAAATATGCTGGGTGACATTCATTAATTTGCATCAACCCATTATTCTCTCTCATATGTATAACAATATCTCTCATTCCACTTGATTCAGTTCCATCGCCCGGTAATATTATCGCAATTTCATCTATTGTTGGGAGATTATATCGACGTCAATCTGTGGAAGAATTGTAACGAAGATAAGCAAGTAAATTTTGAGTTGCCACGTCTGATTGATTTAAAATCACATAAGCCTGCTGATATTTTTTTGAAAAGGGATTTACATGTAACAAACAGTCTTGAATAATTTTCAAACATCCCGTTGCAAGTGAGGATTCCTACGACTGTGAACGTCTAAAGCTGAAGTAGGGTCATAAATGTATAGTTAGGAGTACACCGCATCTTGACCTGGTTGTGGCAGAAGTGATCCGATTCGATGTCATAATTCTCTATGGATAGTGAATGATGTAGGACCCCTTCTGGTGACCAATCTCGAATCCAAGGTAGCACCAAGACTTGTAAAAGCATTTGCTGCATTATACTCGTGGGTATGCTGATGAAACAATTTTGATTGTTCATCATTGCCATCATACAATGCCTTAAGTGCTGAAGGAGGTGTATTAAGTGGTGGTATCCTAATTTTTTCTTGCAAACAACATGTTCCAAACAGAGGGTGTTCTGTACTGGAATTTGATAATTGTTCAGTCTTCCAATGTAAAGCTGAACAATGAGGACATGGTACATTCATAATTCCAAGTGAATGGCGACCTTCTACTCCGTGTGTTTGAGGATCAAACTCAACACTACATAAATTAAATTAAAATTTATAATCTAAAAAACTTGTGGTTATAGTGATGCCTTCAATCAAGCTCATAAATAATAACATTAAGAAAGTA